ATGATAAAGATAGATAGACATAGATAAGAGATAGACAGATATAAATAGATGATAGATTGTGTGTGAGAGAGATTATACATATAGAGAGAGAGATACAAGAAAGAAAGATAGATAAGAGATAGATAGATAGATATAAATAGATGATAGATTGTGTGTGAGAGAGAAGATATAGATAGATACAAGAAAGATAGATAGATAATGATAAAGATAGATAGATAGATAAATAGATGATAGATTGTGAGAGAGAAGATATATATATATAGATACAAGAAAGTTAAGATGATAGATAGATGATAGATGATAGATAGATAGATAGATAGATAGATAGATAGATAGATAGATAGATAGATAGATAGATACAGGAAGATTGATTAGATTAGATTAGATTAGATTAGATTAGATTAGATTAGATTAGATTAGATTAGATAATAGAGACAGGAAAGTAGATTAGATAGCTAGATGATAGATGAAAATAGGGTGGATGGGTGGATAGATAATAGATAGAGACAAGAAAATAGATTAGATTAGATAGATAGATAGATAGATAGATAGATAGATAGATAGATAGATAGGAGAGAGATGATAGATTGTGTGTGAGAGAAGATATATATAGATAGACAGATGATAGATAAAAAGAGAGGGTGTGACAGAGGATTGGTGGATGGATGGATAGATGACATAGAGATGATAATGAAAAGAGAGAGAAGTGTGACACAGAGAGATGATAGATAGGAGTGGATAGATGGATAGATGATAGATAGGGAGGGAGGGACCCCCTCTTGGCTGTTCATAGCAGGCAGGAAAGCAAGCCAGAGCATCCCGGCTGAGAGCAAAGCATGATGGGAATATCCCTTCCTGCTTAGAGATGCTTGGGTAAGGATTCTATTTGCTGGTCTCCACTGGAAAGAAAACAAGGGAACGTTTCCAACTCCAGACTAGTTAAGAGAGGAAAACAACATCAGAAACCGCTCTGAATTTCAAGACGAGGCCTGTTTTTTGCAGGACGGGCAGCCCTCTGTTTTTGGGGTCCACCCTCCCCCCCTCTTTTCTGGATGGGGCGCAGGGCGAGAGCCAACTATTGACTACAAGACCCAGGAAGGATTATAATGATGACTCCAGTTTTGAGACTTGGTTCTAGCTGTCCAAAGAGACCGGCATATAGACACCCAAAGAGCCTTCTGTACACGCTCAGAAACCCCTCTCCTTTTGCACTCTCGACAGGCCAAGCTCGGCTTTCCACTTTTGTCTTGTGTACACCGGCCTTCTGTACATGCTCAGAAACCCCTCTTTGCATTCCCCAAAGGCCAGTTTTGTCTTCTGCAGCGGTGTGAGGAGGTGGCACGCCTCTTTTCACACCTACGACGGTGGAAAATCCTCCTTCGCGCTGTAGTAGAATAAGGACACCCAGCCGAAGATGCCGCGTGTCACACGCTCGGCTACGGAGCTGCCTTGCCCACAGGTTCGGGGTGGGTGGGTGGAGGTGGGGCTGGCTTGGCCTCTTCCTGGCAAAATCGGGGTGCGTGCCTCCACGCCCCGCTTCCCACGATCTGGGCTAACAGGTCCTGCTTTGTCTCCGCAAACAGAAAACAGCCCCGAGTGCAAATTGCACATCTCCCAATGTTGCAACCCGGCGTTCCAGATGTGCCAGAGTTTTAAGATAGAGAAGGAAAAGCGCTTTGCACATGCCTCTGGGCAAAAACACTTCGTGTTTTGTAGGGTGTGTTTGGGGGGGGGGCCCTCAAAGCTTCCAATTCTGACTTGGCTGCTACGGAGACCCTTTCCCCCTCTGTTGCCCTTTCTCTGTTCATTTAATTTACAAGCGGTCCTCGACTTACGGCGGTTCGTTTAGTGACCGAAGTTACAATGGCATTGAAAAAAAAGAAGGACTTAGGACCACTTTTAAACACTTACGACCGTGGCGGCATCCCCCCGGGGCCACGCGATCAAAATTTTCGGCCGCTTGGCAGCTGACTCACATTTATGACGATTGCTGTGATCTCCTCTGACAAGCCAAGTCGAGGGGGGTGGGGTGGGGGAAGCAGGATCCGCTTAACGACCGCATGACGGATGGAACGACGGCAGCGATTCCCGTTTAACAAACGAAATGGGGGCCCCGACGAGTTTCTTGCTTAGCCGCGTCAAGTTTCGGCCTCCGATTTTGGCCGTCTAAAGTCGAGGATGGAGCTTTTATTTTATTTTTCGTTTGTTTATTTTTGTCGGCTTTTTAACACAGAGGCACTAATAATAATTTTTTTTAAAAATGCAATCATTTTTGGACAGGCTCAAGAATTGCATGGAAATTTAGCTATTTCGCATTGCTTAAGACAGAATTCCCGTCGCTGAGCAAGGCGGTTCTTAAGTGAATCCCTGCCCGATTTTGCAGCGTCCTCATCCTCGCACGATCGAAATTCAGATGCTTCGCAACGGACTCATACTTATGACCGCTGCAGTGTCCCGGATCGCCTTTCGCGACCGTCTGACAAGCAAAGCCAGTGACAATCGTGTGACTAATTTAACAATGGCGGCGATTCGCTTAACAACGGTGGGGGGAGAAAAGTCGTAAAAAGGGACATAACTCAGATAACAAATGTCTCACTTAGTAAATATAAACCCTGGGCTCAGTTGTGGCCATAAGTCGAGGACTGCCTGTCCAGATCACACCGAAGCACCTGAGCTGATCCATGGAAGTGAGGAACGATAGGAAAATGAAACGGATATACAGACAGCCGAATCATTCGCAAAGGTGCCTCTGAACCTTGAAATTAAATGAACGAACCTCTTATGCTTAATTTACGCCCCAGCTCAGCCACCATAGATTTCTCCATTTTGACAAGAGTCCCAATAGCCCCAGTTTGGCCCCTCCTGTCAAACCACGAATCGTGGTTAATGGGCTAAACCAGCACCAGCAAGCATCAAAGGCACAGATTTGCTCCAATAAGCAACTTTTTTCCTCCTTTTCGCCCAACTGGCCACCATGATACTCAAAAGCAAGGAAAAACAACCGACGGGTTTGACGAGGAGACGCTAACAAAGCAAACCACAGTCAGACACATGGGTGTAAGTATCCCCACTTTCCCAGGAACCGGTATTGTTACTCATTCATACAACCGCAACGTGATAGTTTCGCCTTGGGAGTCAGCTTGTGGACACGCCCCGAAATTGTGGTTTGGTGAGCCAGGCTGGCTGGCTTATTGAGATTTGAGCAATTTACTCAGCAAACCACGATTAGGCGAAGAAAAGCTGAGCATTATGGGGTAAACCTAGATGGAGCTATGTTCTGTCCTTTTGGGTATTACAGTTTTTTTTTTTTAAAGGAGCCCTGTTTTGCAAAATAAAATGTGGAATTTAAAGTTCGCAAGGATTTTGAGAGTTGTGGTTGAGCCTCTCTTTCCTGGATGAAGGGAAGGAAAGAAGGAAAAAGAAAAGAAAAGGAAGGAAGGCAAAGACATAGACATAAACAAAGAAGGAAGAAAAACGGATGGAAGATGGATGAAAGGAAGGGAAGGAAGGAAGGAAGGGGGAAAGGACAGAATGGGAAGAAGGAGAGAAGGGGTAAGAAGGGAGGGAGGAAAGAAGGAAGGAAGATTGGAGGGGGAAGGAAGGATAAGAGAGAAAGAAGGAAGGAAGGAAGGAAGGAAGGAAGGAAGGAATGGGAGGAAGGACAGAATGAAGGGAAGGAGGGAAGGAGGGAAGGTATAAGAAGGGAGGAAAGAAAGAAGGAAGGAAGATTGGAGGGGGAAGGAAGGATAAGTGGGAAAGAAGAAGGAAGGAAGGAATGGGAGGAAGGACAGAATGAAGGGAAGGAGGGAAGGTATAAGAAGGAAGGAAAGAAGGAAGATTGGAGGGGGAAGGAAGGATAAGAGGGAAGGAAGGAAGGAATGGGAGGAAGGACAGAATGAAGGGAAGGAGGGAAGGTATAAGAAGGAAGGAAAGAAGGAAGATTGGAGGGGGAAGGAAGGATAAGAGGGAAGGAAGGAAGGAATGGGAGGAAGGACAGAATGAAAGGAAGGAGGGAAGGTATAAGAAGGAAGGAAAGAAGGAAGGAAGATCGAAGGGGGAAGGAAGGATAGGAGAGAAAGAAGAAGGAAGGAAGGAATGGGAGGAAGGACAGCATGAAGGGAAGGAGGGAAGATATAAGAAGGAAGGAAAGAAGGAAGGAAGATTGGAGGGGGAAGGAAGGGTAAGAGAGAAAGAAGAAGGAAGGAAGGAATGGGAGGAAGGACAGAATGAAGGGAAGGAGGGAAGGTATAAGAAGGGAGGAAAGAAGGAAGGAAGATTGGAGGGGGAAGGAAGGATAAGAGGGAAGGAAGGAAGGAAGGAAGGAAGGACAGAATGAGAGGAAGGAGAGAAGGTAAGAAAGAAGGGAGGGAGGAAAGCAGGAAGGAGACGGAGAGAGGAAGGAAGGAAGCAAGCAAGGAATTAATTTGGGGGAGATAAACAAAGAGAGAAAGAAAGAAAGAAAGAGAGAGAGAAAGAGAAAGGAAGGAAGTAGGTAGGAGATAAAGAAAGAAAGAGAAAGAGAGAAAGGAAGAAAAAGAGAAAGGAAGGAAGGAGGAGGGAGGTGGGAGAGAAAGAAAGAAAGAAAGAAAGAAAGAAAGAAAGAAAGAAAGAAAGAAAGAAAGAAAGAAAGGCAGCAGAGGTCAGAGTCCAGGTCATTTTCCCCAAAGGAGATGGCAGAGATGAAGGATCACTGGCAAAGCCCCCCCCCCCCCATCTGACAGGCCCCCATGCCATTAGCAAGGGAGAGAGACCAGCTCGACGCACCCACCCACCCCTATACCACAGTCACCATCGGATTCCCCGAAAGTTCAATTCCATGCAAAATTGAAGTCCTGTCAGAGCTGAAGAAGCTTCCTGGATGAGAAGCGAAATGTCTTCAAAGAAGAAAATTAGAAGAAGAAAAAACCCAGCCCGCGTGGTCACAGACAAAAACCCCACTGCCCTTTGCTGGTGAAGCCTGGGGCTGGGGGGGTGTCTTACCCAAAGTCTTGGGGTGGGGGGCCGTAGCCCCTTCTCTCCAGCGGGTTTGAATCCGTGGTTGGCCCAATCCAGCATAGGTTTCAGTTTCTCATCCAGAGATTCCCCAGCCACGGTGGAGAAAGTCTTCCCAGCTCGGCTACTTGCAACCTGCCATCCACAAGAAGTTTGGTCACAGCAGGATTGGGGCTGGGGGGGCACTGAGCTGGAGGAACTGCCCAGAAGCCCCCTCCCCACTCACCATGCCAGTGCAAAGATTCTGCCCAAATCCCATTCGGGTAAGGGTCCCAGCCTCTTTTTTTAACAGGAGGGGGCCAGCATGGATGGGTTTTGAAGCATTGCTTCGTAGCCCACCTGGAGCGGTTTGGATTTGGGAGCGTACACAAAAAAAAAATCTCACAAAAATATATCAGTAAATAAGGGGAGGAATGTCCGTTCAAGGGCAATCAATGGCGATTTTACTGCAGTCTTCTGTAGCTTTTGGGTTAAGGTTTGTGGGGTCCCTGGTGCTCTCTGAGCTTGGATGCTTTCTGGCAGATGTTTCATGGCCCAACTACGGAACATCATCAGTGCTAGAAGGAAGGAAGGAAGGAAGGAAGGAAGGAAGGAAGGAAGGAAGAAGGAAGGAAGGAAGGAAGGAAGGAAGGAAGGAAGGAAGGAAGGAGAGGAAGAGGAGGGGAGGAGGAGGAGAAGAACTGTGGGGTCCTTGGTGCTCCCTGAGCTTGGGTGTTTTCTGGCAGATGTTTCATGACCCAACTAGGGGTCATGAAGTGCTAGAAGGAAGGAAGGAAGGAAGGAAGAAGAGAGGAAGGAAGGAAGGAAGGAAGGAAGGAAGGAAGGAAGGAAGGAAGGAGAGGAAGAGAGGGGAGGAGAACTGTGGGGTCCTTGGTGCTCTCTGAGCTTGGATGCTTTCTGGCAGATGTTTCATGGCCCAACATCATCAGTGCTGGAAGGAAGGAAGGAAGGAAGGAAGGAAGGAAGGAAGGAAGGAAGGAAAGAAAGGAAGGAAGGAAAGAAGGAAGGAAGGAGAGGAAGAGGAGGGGGAGGAGAACTGTGGGGTCCTTGGTGCTCTCTGAGCTTGGATGCTTTCTGGCAGATGTTTCATGGCCCAACTAGGGAACATCATCAGTGCTAGAAGAGAGGGGAGTTTGCAGAGAGGAGGAGGAAGAAGAGAACGACTGAGGGGTCTTTGGGGCTCTCTGAGGGTGGGGCGACTGTGGAATGATTGGTGGTCTCCTGTTTTCTTTCCACCCAGCCCCTTCTTACCTCCAAAACATGGAGAATGGATTGTTGGTAGGACACCAACTTCTGAAACGTGGCGGGTTGAAATGTTCCCGGAAATGTACCAGACCCACCAGTTTGTCAGCGGAGATCTGCAACAATAGCAATAGCCCTTAGACTTATATACCGCTTCGCAGTGCTTTCCAGCCCTCTCTAAGCGGTCGACAGAGTCAGCCTCTTGCCCCGCAACAATTTGGGTCCTCATTTTACCCATCTCGGAAGGACGGAAGGCTGAGTCAACCTTGAGCCTGGTGAGATTCGAACTGCCAAATTGCAGGCAGTGAGCAGAATTAGGCTGCAGTACTGCACTCTAACCACTGCACCACCCCGGAAGGACGGAAGGCTGAGTCAACCTTGAGCCAGTCAAGATCGAACTGCTGGCAGTCGGCAGAGTTAACTTGCAATATGGCATTCTAACCACTGGGTCACCTTGCCTACCTGCCTGCCTGCCTGCCTGCCTGCCTGCCTGCCTCCCTCCCTCCCTTCCTTTTTTCTTTCCTTCACAAGCAATAGCCCTTACACTTATATATCGCTTCATAGTGCTTCACAGACCTCCCTAAGCAGTTTACAGAGTCAGCCTCTTTCTCCCAACAATCTGGGTCCTCATTTTTACCAACCTCGGAAGGACGGAAGGCTGAGTCAACCTGGATCCGGTGAGAATCGAACTGTCAAATTGCAGGCAGTCAGCAGTCAGCAGAAGTAGCCTGCAGTACTGCACTCTAACCACTGCGCCACCATGATTCAATAAGGAGAAAGCGACTGGACCCAACCACTCTGACCTTCGTCTCTTTATCCCAGCCATCCAAGAAAAGACCCCACCCCAGGGCAGAATCCTCAACTCCTGTCAGCACTTCAAGCTTCATTTACTCTAGTGCTGACATAAGAAGGAGAAGCGGAGGCGTCTGGAAAGGGACGTTTGACTTTTCACCTACTTATTTTCCCTGGAGATAATATCCCCTAGGAGATGGATGGGAGGGGGAAATTCCTTTGAGCTGGAGCAGTAGATTAGGGGTAGAGTGACTTGGAAGATGGCCAATGAGTGCAGGGGAGTGGGGAACAGAAAGGGAGGGTTTGGGGGCTGGAAGTCAGTGTTGGCTTCGATTGAGTCGGTTAGAATGTCATGCTTAATAAAATGGGAGTTTTTCATCAAAGACTTCGTTTGAAATGCAATTTATTTGAGACGACCTCAAAACTTGACAACTCCCCAACTCTGGGACCACTTGAAGATGGATGGACTTCAACTCCCAGGATTCCCCAGCCAGCTTTCATTTCCCCCCCCCCCTTCTTTTTATCATTGTAGGCCACCTAGAGTAGCCCCACAGCGAGATAGGTGACAAATTTAACAAATACATAAATTACTTAGCAACAACAGTTTTTTGCCATCCTTTTTTTTTAAAACTAAACTGGGTTTGAAAACTGCAAAAAAAAAACAACAAAAAGGCACGGACATGCCCATTGCCAACCTCCCGCAAAGAGCCCTCTTGAGGACTAGTGGATGGATGGACCGATAGGCACATAATTCAGGGCAGTTTAACAAACCCTGTTGCAAACAACACTAAGAAATCCGGTCCTTGAAAGTTGTGGGTTCTCCATCACGGGAGGTTTTCAAGAAAAGATTAGATAGCCGTTTGTCTGGAATGGTATAAGGTCTCCTGCTTGACCATAGGGTGGACTAGAAGACCTCTGATGTCCCTTTCAGCAGCTCTCCTTGAACAGGTGACGTAGTGAACCGTGTCTAAAATCAGGCAAACTTGGTGACTTCTTTACCGTGAATTTCCATGACCTCCTTTAATATCCCCACCTCTGCAGTTTGGACTAGAAGACTTTCAACTCTGTTATTCTGTTACAGGAAGGGAAATAACAGAATAACAGAATTGGATGGGACCTTGGAGGTCTTCTAGTCCAACCCCCTGCTCAAGCAGGAGACCTATACCATTTCAGACAAATTGGCTGTCCAGTCTCTTTTTTAAAAGCTCCAGTGATGGAGCACTCACAATTTCTGGAGGCAAGTAGTTCCACTGGTCAATTATTCTGTCAGGAAATTTCTCCTTAATTCCATGTTGCTTCTCTCCTTGATTAGTTTCCATCCATTGCTTCTTGTTCTGGTTCGGGTGCTTTGGAGGATACATTGGCCCCTTCTTCTCTGTAGCAGCCCCTCAAATATTGGAAGACTCCTGTCAAGTGACCCCTAATCCTTCTCTTCATTAGGTTCGACATACCCGTTTCTCGCAACCATTCTTCATACGTTTTAGCCTCCAGACCCATTCTCATTTTTGTAGTGATAAGTGTGGTATTCATACAGAATACAGAATAACAGAGTTCAAAGGGACCTTGGAGGTCATCTAGTCCAGCCCCATGCTTGAGCAGGAGATCCTATACCATTCCAGACAGATGTTTGTCCAGTCTCTTCTTAAAAACCTCCAGTGATGAAGCTCATACTACTTCTGGTGGCAAGCTGTTCCACTGGTTAATTGTTCAAACTTTCAAGTTTAAGATTCAAAAGGCCATGTATATTTTAATAATAATAATAATAATAATAATAATAATAATAATAATAATAATTTTATTTCTATACCGCCCTTCTCCTGAAGGACTCAGGGCGGTGTACAGCCATTTAAAAACACAAGACACAACAATGATTAAAAATTAAAATAATTAAATAGATTTGGCTGATTTAAAACCCCAAAAATTTTTTAATACCCCAATTTAAAAATTATTATTTGATAGCCCGGCCTGGCGGAATTTTATATAGTATTTTGTACATACTGACTTGGGGTCGGGTGGGGAAAGCACTTTTCCATGCAATTTATTATCAAATCGTAAACCAGGAAATAAATTTGACTGCAAGCTTTCTTGAAAATATATTAAAAATACATCTAAGTTGGAAAATTGCTTTCAGTTGGTCTCTACAAAAAAAACACAGTGATGTGTAAACCATCATTCGTGGTTTAAAGTGTCGGAACCCAGCTAGTTGTGTTTTGATTCCACAAACCACAGCTTAAGAAAATGATAGATGAATAAGATATGAGAGCCAAAGGGACTGACCGTCTTCTCAACTATCCCCCTCCCCTTCCACGCCCCTCACCTCCGAAAACTTTCCGTCCCCAAACCATTTCAACCAGCGCATGCCAGGGGCCGCCTGGCGGTTGGAGGTCGTCTTCCAGGACACCACGATGGCCGGCCACCAGGAGAAGCCTTTGATCTTCCCCCAGACCATTCCCCGATTCCAAAGCCTTTTCCGTCCTGCGAGTCAAACAGAAACAAGGGGAAGGTTGAACAAGGGGGAGGGGGTCGGTTAAGGTTAGGGGGCAACCCCACGGATGCAACTCAAGAGCCTTGGTGGTGCAGTGGACTAAAGTGCTGTTAAGTAGCACTTAGCTGCCAGCTGCCTGCAATTACTGCGAGTTCGAATCTCACCAGGCTCAAGGTTGACTCAGCCTTCCATCCTTTCTAAGGTAGGTGAAATGAGGACCCGGATGGTGGGGGCAATAAGCTGACTTTGTATAAATATACAAAAGTATGAAGGCTATTGCTTAATGCATTGTAAGCCCGCCCTGAGTCTCGGAGAAGGGCGGCATATAAATTGAACCAATAAATAAATAAATAAATAAATAAATAAATAAAGTCGACCTGCCCAGAGTTGTTGGACAGTGTGATGAGTGTCATATCAATTTAATCAGTGAATAAAAGAAACAAATTACTCAGAGCAACAAAGTTGGTTAGCAAGGATTGGAGTCTTGTTTTCCAGCCCCAGCATTGCTAAAAATCATTCATTCTTTTTTTTTTTTATTGAAAAGTTTTATGAAAAATACAAACATTTTCACACCCCCCACCCTTCCCCCCTCAACCCCCCCTCCCCTTCCCACCCTCCCTTCCCCTCCCTCCCCCCCACCCCCCCTCCCTAGACTTCCCAAAACGAGCACAGGATATAGCATTCACAAACCAAGAACTAAATGTGCTAACAAATTATTACATTTCATATTCTCCCTAGGTCCTTAACTCCTTATAACTCAGAAAAAACAAACATAAACTACTTAATATTATTCATTCATAAGCTATATGAATCTTCTTATTCGGATACTTCAATCATTCATTCTTGACGAAGAGCATCAAGTTATCTGTTTTATTTGTTATTTATTTTCTTATTTGTAATTTATTTTCTATTTTTATTTCTTGTTTATTTTGTTATTGTTATTTATTTATTTTGCTACATGTTTTGTTAGTTATTTATTTTGTTACTTTGCTATTTACAGCCTATTTACTTATTTTGCTATTTATATTGTTAACTATTTTATTTAGTTCCTTCCTTTATTATTTTTACAAATAACTCAAGGAAGCAAACGCACACAATACTCCCTCTTCCCTCCTATTTTCCCCACAACAACCACCCTGTGAGGTGGGTTGGACTGAGAGAGGGAGGGACTGGCCAAAGTCACCCAACTGGCTTTCATGCCTAAGGCAGGACTAGAACTCACCGTCTCCTGGTGATTGGCCCAAAGTCACCCAGCCAGCTTTCATGCCTAAGGGGGGACTAGAACTCACCGTCTCCTGGTGATTGGCCCAAAGTCACCCAGCCAGCTTTCATGCCTAAGGGGGGACTAGAACTCACCGTCTCCTGGTGATTGGCCCAAAGTCACCCAGCTGGCTTTCATACCTAAGGCGGGACTGGAACTCACCGTCTCCTGGTGATTGGCCCAAAGTCACCCAGCTGGCTTTCATACCTAAGACGGGACTAGAACTCACCGTCTCCTGGTGATTGGCCCAAAGTCACCCAGCTGGCTTTCATGCCTAAGGCAGGACTAGAACTCACCGTCTCCTGGTGATTGGCCCAAAGTCACCCAGCCAGCTTTCATGCCTAAGGGGGGACTAGAACTCACCATCTCCTGGTGATTTGCCCAAAGTCACCCAGCTGGCTTTCATACCTAAGGCGGGACTGGAACTCACCGTCTCCTGGTGATTGGCCCAACGTCACCCAGCTGGCTCTCATGCCTAAGACGGGACTAGAACTCACCGTCTCCTGGTGATTGGCCCAAAGTCACCCAGCTGGCTTTCATGCCTAAGGCAGGACTGGAACTCACCGTCTCCCACTTTCTAGCCAAAACCACTTGCCCAAACTGATTCTCTTTAGCAAACCTTGGGAAGATTTTACAACAGACCATACAGACTTCAGTCGATTATCCCCTTGAAAATGAGGAAGAAATTCACAGAAGGCAACATAAGCCCATCTTATTTTTTTTTAACCCGATAACTTATTTAGTTGACTGGGGAATGCAGCAGACATATATATCTTAAAATCTCTCCTTGGAACAATGTGACGCAAGGACCCTTAAAAGACCGGCCCAAATCAGTTCTCCTTTTCAAATTGGATGTTTAGGATGGTTTATCCATTTCTATGCCGCTCAACTCCCAGAGTCCCTTGGGAGTTGGGCGGCATAGAAATGCGACAAAATAAATAAATAAAATAAATAAATAAGGAATGGATTTTTGGTTCAAACTTAAAATCTTGAAACTATTTTGGAGAGCGCTCATTGTTGGATGCTTATCCTACGGTTGGGTAGGTAATATATAGAAAACTATGTTCTGTAACTTAACTGCTACAAAGATGACTAATTGGCTGTGCTAAGCAGACATAAAAGAAGGCAGGAAGTTCGCTCACTTCTGCTCCTGCTCCTGCTATTGAAGGTTGAACTGCTGGAAGGAACTGTGTCTGTGTTTGAAGAGAACTGGAATTGTAAAGCAAACTATGTTTTGTGTTAAACCGTGATTGTTTGAAGAAGTTGTTTTGAGAAGCCAAGTTTGTTTTTATACTACAAGTAAAGACTGTTTATTTTTCTTTAAACGTTCAGAGTCTGTGACTATCTGTGTGTTTTGCTAAGCATCGTATCTATTCGCTGTCTGGTCCGTTGCACTACCTAGCAGACGGCAGTTTCAAGGTGGGTGAGTAGGGAGTCCCTGATCTCCATCCCCTTCTGAAGGTCAGGTGGCTTTCGGTGCCCCCCCCCCGCACTCCCCGCAACGTAACTGTTGTCAAAAACGCCATTGGGCGTCGATGGCGGTCCTCGACGTACGACCGCGAAGGAGCCCGACGCTTCCATCGCTAAACGAGACACCGTTTTTAAGGGAAGCGCTTGCCGCGGTGAAGTTACGTTGTTAAGTGAATCGGGCGCCGTCGTCCCCCTCATTGACTGGGCTTGTCCAAAGGTCGCAAAAGGGAGTCACCGCAACCGTCGTAAATAGGAGTCCGTTGCCCACCTCTGAATTTTGATCACGTGACCACGGGGAACGGTCGTAAGTGTGAAACACGGTCCTAAGTCACTTTTTTTTTTTTAACAGTTGCTGTTCGAACTTCGGTCACTAAACGAACTGTCGTTAACTCGAGTACTCCCTGTAGAAATGGACTTTTGGAGCCTCAAGCAGTGTGGTTGGTCCTTCTGCAAAGAGCCCCGCCCCCCCCAGGTGTACAAGCCCCGCCCCCCTAAGGCAGCAGCTGCAGTTACCATTCCCAACCAATAGGGGCTCTGCAGCTCCAAGCATGTTGGGGCAAAATTTTACCTTTAGGAGCAGCTAAAAAAAAGGAATTTAAAAAAAAGGTGGAAAAAGCCAAGAGAGAAACTCAGCCAAGCTGCAGAGACTGTGGGAATGTGGGCGGGGCCAAAGCCAAGGGGGGAAATTTTAATAGCAGGCAGCCGGCAGCGGATTGGCTCTCCTCCGTCAGCTGACCTGGCGGGAAACCCAGAACCGCCTTTCTCGGCCTTCCCATTGGCATTGTCTGGAGCGCCCTCTAGGGGTGGATGGGGGGAGGAAAGGAAAGGCAGAAAGGGAAAGGGAAAAGGGAAAGAGGGGGAAAAAAGGAAGGAAGGGGAAAAAAAGTGGGGGGGGAGAAGGGAAGAAACTCTTTTTAACAGTTTGGGGCTTCGAACAAGTTGTCAAATAGCAAAATTCAACTTTAACCATTTCACGTCTCTTTCTCTCTACCATCTCTCCCTTATATCATCTGTCTGTCATCTACCATATGTCAATCATCCGTCTGTCTATCGATCTGTGTATCTATCTGTCTACCTACCTGTCTGCCTATCTACCAATCTGTGTATCTCTCTCTCTACTATCTATCTCTATCATCTCTATCATCTATCTACTATCTATTTATCTATCTCTTTGTTTCTCTATCATCTATCATTTCTATCATCTATCTACTATCTATCTCATCTATCATTTCTATCATCTATCTACTATCTATCTTCTATCTTATTTATCATCTATCATTTCTATCATCTATCTACTATCTCTCTATATTCTATCTATCTTATCTATCATATCATTTCTATCATCTATCTACTATCTTTATCTATCTCTATCAATTATCTACTATCTATCTTCTATCTTATTTATCATCTATCATTTCTATCATCTATCTCTCTATCAATCAATCAATCAATCTACCAACCAACCACTGTATCTCTTTCTCATATCATTTATCTATCTATATCTATCATCTATCTATCTATCTATCTATCTATCTATCTATCTATCTATCTATCTATCTCTTTCATATCTATAGTATCTATCTATCTCTATCAATATCTCTACCTACCTACCTACCTACCTACCTACCTACCTACCTACCTTCTCTATCATTCTTGTCTGTCCATCCATCCATCCATCTCTCCTCTCTCTCTCTCTCCATCTGCCAATGCCATAAAACTGGTTCTTCTTAGGGATTTCCCGCTTTGATCTCCTGTCCTGGCATCGCCTGGTGGTCTCCTTTCCATCCCCTAACTTAACCCGGTCCGATTGTACTGAGCCAAACCAAAACGGGCATTTTTTTTTTTTGCAGAGAGAGAGGTTGCCAGGGGTAAGGGGGTGCTGAAGCAGCCCCAATCCGTTGGTGAGCCAGCTGGCTGGGGGAATTCTGGGAGTTGAAGTCCCCAGCAAGTCTTCAAATTGTCTGAGGTTTAAAACCCTCGATTTAGGGATACACACATCCCAGTTACACCTTCAAGATGGGGATTGAGTTAGGTAGCCCCCTCCCACAGCTGGGTCGCTATCAAGAGGAAAGCGAGCCTGCGTTTGTACATTTAAGGGCTGTAAAATTGACAAGCTCTTGCCGACACAGCCGTTTATCGGCTCTCACCCTCCTGCGCCCCGAATTAAAACTTCAGGCGTGTCAGATCAGGGTGGCCAGCACGGTTTCCTTAAAAAGAAAAAAAAAACACTCAAATTTTGTGCTCAAATCAACCCAGATTCTACGCACAACGCTCTTATCCAGATAACCCCAAACACAATAAATCATTTGTAAAAAAAAACAAAACTAAATTATTTTCACCTATTTAATCAGCCCTTCATGCTCAAATCCACCCAGAATCCACACGATAACGCAAAATGCAATAAATTGGTTTTAAAGTAAATTATTTTCACCCGTTTAACCAGAGGCTTCATGCTCAGATCTACCCAGTTTCTAACGCACCACGAGCCAAAAAAAAAACAACAACTCCAGATAACAAAGAAAGCACAATAAATCCATTGGAAACTCAATTATTTTTTCCTTATTTAACACACGCGGTCTCGTGTCAGGTGTAGAAAAACTTGGGGAGATTTTAAAAGAGAAAAAGCTAAAAGCCCAGACAAAGGTTGGGGGAAAAAAAAAGAAAGAAACCAGACCTGCCTTTTTTTTTTTTTTTCCAGATTTAGAAAATCCAAAAATTGGGGGCTCCCTTAAGTATTTGAGCAGCTCGTTCCTGCCTGTCAACATTTGCAAAATTCAAAATGCTTCAGCATCCCGGCAGCATTGCAAGCCGAGGCGGCCGCATCATCATCCATTGTGATGTTTTCCCATTTTTGGGGAGTTGTGCAAAAAAGGTGGAAACCCTCCAGCAAAGTGGGGTGGTGGTGGTGGCCCAGCTAGAAGACCTCAAGGGTCCCTTAGACATTTCCTGACCCGTGAATTAACAATTAAATCAGCGCTTTTTCTCCAGAAGTGGTGGATTCATCACTGGAGGGTATTGTTTTGTTTTGTTTTGTTTTAAAAAAAAAGAGACTGGACAGTCATTGGTCCTAAAGACGGTGTAGAGAGCAGGAGGGTTGGACTGGATGACCTCTGGGTGCCCCTTCCAATGGTCGAAAAAGCGACTTGGTGGCAGGAAGCAAACCCTCCCCTCCCTTCAGAAGTTGTGGGTGGACAAGACTGGACAGTATTTATTTTTTTTTAAAAAGCGACTGGATAGCCATTTGTTCTAAAAAACGGCGTAGGGTCTCCTTCTAGAGCAGGGGGCTGGACTAGATGACCTCCAAGGTCCCTTCCGTCTATGAGGATGCTCCATCCTGGGGAGGGGGTGTGTCTATGAAACAGCAGTCTCTTCCTACTGCCCCCTACAGGCTGTGTGACTTCCATGCCCGCCACGCTATCATTTCTCAGCCAAGACTCAATTCTGGAATCCCGGATGGAAATGCGACAACTTTTGCGACAGGCGGTGTGTCGTGTTTTTAACCTCCCGTCCCCTCCGGTGTGCCGTACACACAGACCCACACACACACACACCCATCTGCAATGCGGCTGATTTTCTTGCATTGCAAGGCTCCGAAAGGGGGGGGCGCGCGGCGCAGCCTAAACACAAATGCCACCTGCAAGTTTTACAGCCATCCCCAATTTGTGTCGTTTGCGTAAGGAGGGGACGGTTATTGTCGCAATTGTTTGTTTGTGTGTGTGCGTGTGTGTACTTGTAGGTCCAGGAAGAGACCCCGGAGATGTTAAAGTGTCCGGCAATAATTCCCCGCTGTGCAAAAAAAGGGGGTTATTGGGAAGGGAGTTGCGGAATTCGGCGCCGAGGGTGGATTCTGGCACAATCACACCCCCATTGCGGTGTGCGGAGGTTTTTTTTCCCCCCTCCTTTGTGTAGGGAGGCACGGTTGTTCCTCGCCCTTTTCCCCCCTCCCATTTTATAACACACCGGGTCCAAATCGACAACCACGCAAAACGACAATCGGGAAAAACGACAAGATAAAACACATCGGAACGAGGAATTCCCGTTCTGGAATTTTCTGGGATTTTTGTTGTTTTGTTTGTTTGTTTGTCGGAGGAAACACACCCAGAAGCAAAAACACGACAATTTGCACAGAAAAAAGTGCCAAAGTGCCTCGTTTATTCCTGTTTTTACTCGCATCACGCGATCCATAGGGCCGTTCCTTGTTGGACACCGAGAGGTTTCTGGTTCCCCCGGATGGCTTCCTTTGCCACAATAAGGACTAGTAACTTGATCTTTCTCAAAGCTTTGCAGACCCGAAATTGCTCAAGGATGGAATTCTACAGCTGGAGAAGGTGTGGTTGTTGGTTTTTGTGTATGGGGGGGGAAACGCAACGCATTGTGTTCCAACAACAAGCCAGCTGCCCGATGCGTTTGACTCAGCAGGTTTTTTAAAAAAGGGGGGTTTTTTTTGCTTTCTTAACTTCGCCTCAAAGAAGCTGCATAACTAGTCCTCGACTTATGACCAAAATGGAGATCAGGATTTCTGCCGCTAAGCAAGGCAGTGAAGCGAGCTGTGTGCAAATTTTGTGATTTAAAAAAAAAAAAAAATTTGGCCACCAATGGTTCTTAAGAGAATCATTGCAGTCGTTTATAAGGGAACCAGGCTGTCATTAAGCGAATCCCATTGACTTTGCTTGGGAAGGTCGCAACTGGGGATCACGTGACCACGGGATGCCACAATTGTCACCCATACATACATGACGGTGGCCAAGCACCCAAATTTTGATCACGCGTTGGTTGTAAGTGCGAGGAGTGGTGCCAAGTCACTTTTTCCAGCGCCGTTATAACTTTGAAAAGGTCACTCAATGGGGACTACCCTCCTGTACCGTCCAGTGTCATGCGCTCAAAATTCAAACCCTTGGCAACTGACTCAGACTTACGACAGTTGCAGTGCGGTCGCAGGATCCTCTTTCGCGATTTTCCCAGGCTGAGTCAATGGGATTCATTTAATGACGGACTGATTCCCTAAACAACTGCAATGAGATTTGCTTAAAAACCGTGGCAAAAAAAAAAAAAAAAAAACCCCGCAAAATTTGCGCACGACTCACTTAAGGACCGCCTGGCCTAGCAATGGAAATCCTGGTCTCCCTTGAGGCCGTAAGTCGAGGACTAGCTTTGTTTGAAGCTTCTCACAAGCCAAGCCAGATTCACTGGCCAAGCGTGTTAACAAATTTAAGAATGCATGGATTCGCTTAGCAACGGTGGCACGAAAGGTCGTAAAACGGGGGACAAACGCACTTAACATCTCGCTTAGCGACAGAAATCGCAGCCGTAAGTCGAGGACTACCTGTTCTACTAAATCACGGAGAGGAAAATCCTTCTTTCCCTTGTTTTTTTTTTTCCCGGAGGGAAAAATAGGGGTGACTCTAGCTGCACCCCACGCTTCACAACAAGGACCCCCCCCCTCCTCAGCGACTTGCCAAAGAGGGAATCGGGAGTCCGGCTGTTGCCACAGCACCGGCATCTCCGCCAGACCCGTCTTGCGTGCGAATCCGCGCTAATTGCCGGCAGCCGATCTGTAATTAAAACTTCCCCGCTGACATTTTCCCCGACATCTCAATATCAAACACTGCAATTAATCCCAGCCGCCTAGAAGGTTGCGGAGCCCGAGAGAGAGCGGAGAGGGAACAAGGCCGGGGGGGAGAGGGGGGGAAAGAGAGGGTAGGGGGGGCTGCCGGTGGGGGCAGAAGCACCAAACTGCGTTTGTCTTAAACTAAACCATCATTTGTGCGATTTCCAAGCTTGGTCCCTTTCGCAAGCTGCGGCGCAAAGCACCTGTTTTTTGAAAAATGGAAACAGCAGTACGGTGGGCGAGGTAGCCCTCCTCCCGCGGGGCTAAATTTTGCTATTTTTGCAAAACACCCCAGATGGGGAAAAAAAAAAAAAGAGATTTCCACAAAAAAAGGGGGAAAAAAATAATCTGGGATCGTCTCCTTCCCTGAGAGGCGCGGGGGGGGGGGGGAAACGGCTTTGCTCTAATCGACTGGGGTCTCCCCTAAGGCAAAAAGGAGAGAGATTGCGGCTATCCTCGGTTAGGGAAGGAGACAAACCCTGATTAAGGCCACTGGACAGACCAGCATGGGTGTTTGCGGGGCTCAATCTGGCAAGCCTGCAACTTTTGGGGGCTGAAAAAGCAGAGATGTTGTAATCCAAGTTACGACCACAACGGAGCCCCAAATTTACGTTGCTAAGGGAGACGCTTGTTAAGTGGCCCCATTTGAAGACTTTGCTTGTTGTTAAAGTTAGCCACTTCGGTTGTTAAGTGAATCTGACCTGGCTTGTCGCTAAAGAGGATCGCGTGACCCCGAAACGCTGCAACCGTCATAAATATGAACCAGTTGCCAAGAATCTAAATTTTGATCACGTGACAGTGGGGATGCTGCAACGGTCGTTAAGTGTGAAAAACGGTCATAGGTCACTTTTTCCAGTGCCGTTGTAACTTTGAACCGTCACTGAAGGAACTGTTGTAAGCTGAGGACTACCTGTATTCCAGTATCTGAGGGGCTGCCACAGCTATCAACAACACTCTCTTGTAATCCTCTTCGCTTCATTCTCACCACCACCTACTCAATATTTTCTTGCCACAGCTATTATCAACAATACTCTCTTGTAATCCTCTTCGCTTCATTCTCACCACCATCTGTTCAATATTTTCCTGCCACAGCTATTATCAACGAAACTCTCTTGTAATCCTCTTCGCTTCGTTCTCACCACCACCATCTACCCAATATTGTTCCTGTCTCCTCTGCCCTCCTCCCTACACCTTTTCCAAATTTTTCCTTTCAAGGAATTGAGGTGGGGAGCCGGGAGTGAAAACAAGGACCCTCATTTCTAAAACGGATTTATTGTTTGGCTCAGTCACCGATGATCCCGGATTCAGCGGGAGGGACCACCAAATTTAAAAACACAGTTAAAAAATCAAAAAAACAAGAGCAGCACACCAGCTACGGGAAGTTGCTTTCTTCACGGAAGATAAAATAACGGAGCCGTCTGTCAGGAGGATCGTTCTCATCGAGAACGGAAAGCGTGGGGAGGCTGACACGGTCCAGAGGGCGGTTTTTTGGGGGGCAACGTTCACCCCAAAGAGGAAATTTTGGGGTAGGGTATACAAAGCCAACCTCCTCTATTTAAGCAGCACGGTTTTAAGTCATCGGAGATTGCCAACGGAGTAACGGGGAAAAATCTCCTGTCTTTGGCGTAGGGTCCTGGAGAGATCGTCTTCGGCTAAAATCTGGAAGAGACTCAAATCTGAATTTTCTTGTCGGGGTGGGGAAGCCAGCTTGGTGGTGGGGGTGGGGGGGTCTCCATCCGGTCCCAGAGGCAGAAAGCACAGCTTTGACATCCGGTGGGAACGAGACACAAAACGCCTGGAGGGAAAGATCGGAGAAAGAGGGATTGTTATGAGAGCACATGGCAGCGAGATTTTCGGATGCAGAAATTTGACCGGGGCTGAGCCAGGGCAGGGGAGGTGGGAGACGTAACGGTTATCAAAGACTTATTCTAATTTTTTGAGAGCCCAAACTCGGCGTCTGAAAAGATACGAAGAAAGTTCAGCCGTATTTTCCAATTCGCTTTTACCCGCAGGGGGATTTTAGCGATCCAGAACCTTCTCGAACGCGAGGTTTGCACTCCGCGCTCAATTATTTTGCAACGAAGAGCAAATTTCAGGTCCAACCCAACCGGCATTTAATTCCTGTCCTTGCTCTTTCCGATCTCCCCAATTTTAATTTCCTCCCCTTCGGGGAGTCACGTTTACCCGTTCGCTGCCTCCCTTCGGAAATGGATTGCATATCCGTACACCTTTCTCACGAAAGAGGGGAGTTTTAGTACACTTTTCTTAACCAACGCCTTTGGTGTGGGGGCGAGACAGACAGAACCCCCACTTCCAGGGCAGTACAGTTGCATGCACAGCTAGTCCTCAACTTACGTTCACTTAGTGACCATTCCAAGTTACAACAGCACGGAAAAAAATTACTTAGCGACGTTTTTTTTTACATATAACCCTCGCATTCCCATCCTCACGTGTTCAAAATTCAGACGCGCTTGGCAACTGATTCATATTTATGACGGTGGCAGCGTCCTGGGGGCAGGCTAACTACAGGCAGCCCTCTACTTATGGCTATTCATTTAGTGACCGTTTGAAGTTACGACGGCACTGAAAAAAGGCACTTAGGAGTGTTTTTCACACTTATGACCAACCATTGCAGCGTCCTCAAAGTCACACGGTCAAAATTAGGGACGTTTGGCAACTGACTCATATTTATGACAGTCGCAGTGTTCCGGGGGGAGTCACATGATCCCCTCTTCCGACCTTCTGACAAGCCAAATCAACGGGGAAGCCATGTTCACGTCACAACCTTTGTTTCTAAGTTAACAACAGCAGTGATTCACTTAACAACCGTGGCTAGAAAGGTCATGAAACGGGGCAAAGCTCCCCAAACCAATGTCTCACTGAGCAACAGAAATGTTGGGCTCGATCCTGGTCGTAAGTCCAGGACTGCCGGTATCGGAGACACGAATCAGGTTTGGTATTCCGGATTTTATTCTATTTAGTGCTCAACTGCGGTCGTAAATCCAGGACTGCCTGTATAAACCCACCCACCGACCTATTTTCGTTTGCAAGAAGCAAAGTTGCAGGGCCAAATGCGGCAGAGAAATAAATATTTGTCCAGCAATAAAAACAACAACGAAAAGAAGAATTTATGTTTGCATTAAAAAAAAACAACAAACCAGGCGGGACGAACGAACGAAAGCCGGCTGGCAAAGGGAGGCGAATGAATTTTCTTCGCGTCCTTAATATGTATAGATATTTTCGCCCCGATTCTCCTGGCTATCGTTCTCGAAAGGCCGTCCTTTTGCTGACGCCTCCGGTCGCTTTTCTCCCCCCTCCTTCCCCCCTTTCGTATTGACTTCTGACATTTTCATGGCTCCCTGATTTGATTTCGACAGATTATCCAATTTGTTTTGTAATTTTCTGCTTTCTTCTTTGCTACTTGGCTGGCCTTTGCCGGGGCCCGGCCGACGACGGTGGCTGTTTCGCGATGAGCTCAATTTCTTTCTTTTTTCTTTTTTCCTTTCTGTCTCGTTTTTAAACTGTTGCCTTTTATGTCCGAGCTCCAAAAGGTTAAGTGGAACCTCCGCGGCAATGATAGTATACATTACGGGAGTGTTTGCTTAGTAACCAGTGGTTCAGCGATGGCTCCAAGTTATGTTGTTTCCAAGTCTGTACCACTTAGTGACAGAGTCACTGAAGGAACTGTTACAAGCCGAGGACTATCTGTATTCCAGTATCTGAGGGGCTACCACAGTTATAAAAAAAAAAAAACTCTCTTGTAATCCTCTTCGCTTCATTCTCACCGCCACCATCTACTCAAATTTTCCTGCCACAGCTATTATCAACGAAACTCTCTTGTAATCCTCTTCGCTTCATTCCCACCACCACCATCTATTCAATATTTTCCTGCCACAGCTATTATCAACGAAACTCTCTTGTAATCCTCTTCGCTTCATTCTCACCGCCACCATCTACTCAATTATTTTCCTGCCACAGCTATTAACAATGATACTCTCTTGTAATCCTCTTCGCTTCATTCCCACCACCACCATCTACTCAATATTTTCCTGCCACAGCTATTATCAACGAAACTCTCTTGTAATCCTCTTCGCTTCATTCTCACCGCCACCATCTATTCAATATTTTCCTGCCACAGCTATTATCAACGAAACTCTCTTGTAATCCTCTTCGCTTCATTCTCACCGCCACCATCTACTCAATATTTTCCTGCCACAGCTATTAACAATGATACTCTCTTGTAATCCTCTTCGCTTCATTCCCACCACCACCATCTATTCAATATTTTCCTGCCACAGCTATTATCAACGAAACTCTCTTGTAATCCTCTTCGCTTCATTCTCACCGCCACCATCTACTCAATATTTTCCTGCCACAGCTATTAACAATGATACTCTCTTGTAATCCTCTTCGCTTCATTCTCACCGTCACCTTTTCCCCGATATTTTTTCCCCGTTGATAGTGAACAGACTCTCCAAAGGTTTCATATGGGCCTCAGCAAGAAACAAACAATCCATCTGTTAGGGATGCTAGTCTCGCCTCCAACTCAGGGTTGGACTAAATGACCTCCAAGTACCCCCCTCTCATCGTTCCCTTTTCCCAAGACTTACGCTCTCGTCGAAAATCCTCCGGAGTCTGAATGGGAGCGAAGAGGATCATCTCGGATTAAAGAGTCCTTCCTTTGGGATTTGGGAACGCTGTCTGTCCGTCCGTCCCAAAAGCAGCTGTGTGGTCAATTGAAGGGAGAATTGAGGAGGGGGGTTTCCGGCAAAGTCTAAAGTGCCAAGCGATCGGTCAGCATCTTCGCAGCGGGGAGTAACAGTGGGGTGGAGGAATCCCTCTGCCGGCGCTCCCTAACCGGCCCGAGTCTTGGGGGGAGGCACGCGATCCGAATTCCCTGCAGTCAGAGCCAGAGAAAGGGCACCACCAGGAGAGCCAGGCAGGCGACGCTAAGCCGGATCGGGGCAGGGCTGTGTGCACGAATGACCACCGCTTCTGGGGGGGGCGGGGAGAGAAGAGAGAGAAAGGAGCGTGAATGCAGAGATAAGGCACGCACAGACCCAAAAATGGAGAATTGAATTTCAGGTCGTCCTCGATTTACGACCGGGACCGTCGGAAGTGACAACGGCACTGAGAAAAGGGACGTGTTTTTTTCCACGCTTCTGGTGTAACTACTTATTAATAACGATCACTTATTCATACCCCGTTTTGTTTTCTGGCATTTAAAACATGGAGGTTCCCCCCAAAACTCACTCTCTGGGCCGCCTCTCCCTCGGGGCTGAGATTTGGGTGCCTCCGTCGCGGGATCTGCGGCTAGAAAAGGAAACAAGAATAAGGCAGTGATCACCTTGTGGTCTCCTTTCTCTAAGTCTCCATGCAGAGTCTCAATAAATGCATATCAACCGTCCCCAGAGGGACAAACCGAGAAATTTCACGTTCCTAAAGCAGATTCTGCATAAACAGAGTCCTCACTCATCTTAGCCACCCCGTCTGATGTGATTAGACCACAACCCCCATCATCCCCAGACGGCCAGGGCATTTAGAGAAGCTGTAGAGGTGGTCCTCGACTTACAATATTTCCTTTAACGACCGTCCCAAGTCACAACGGGGCTGGAAAAAGCGATTTTTACGACTCCCACTTACAATTGTTGCAACATCACGGGGTTAAGCGAGCCCTGTTGGTGACCTACCCAGCCAAGCTGGTTTCGCTTAACGACTGCACGATTCGTTTAACGACTGCAGCGATTTACTTAACAACCGTAGCGGGGGTGGGGGGAAAAGTCATAAAACCGGGCGCGATTCCCCGAACGACCGCCTCGCTTAGCAATAAGAAAAACTCCCGATCTTTTCACAAAAACAAAATAAAACAAAAAACAATCCCAGTTTGTTTTCACAAGACCCGCAATTGCGGACACCCACAAACCTTGGAAGGACAGACCGAACTTACTGGTGGTGGCAGCTTTGCAGCAAACCGAAACGCGTAGCTTCAAACACTGGCCAAGACTCTCCGGTGCAGGGATAGCTGTCGGAACGGAAACAAACCACGAATGGTGGTTAGAAGATCTAACGTCCAAGTTCACCAAGCAAAATCAACCCGATGCGGGTTTTTTTGTTTTTTTTTTAATTTGATTTATATGCCGCCCTTCTCCGGAGACTCAGGGCGGCTTACAATGCGTTAAGCAATAGCCTTCATCCTTTTGTATATTTATACAAAGTCAGCTTATTGCCCCCACAAACCGGGTCCTCATTTCACCTACCTTAGAAAGGATGGAAGGCTGAGTCAACCTTGAGCCTTGGTGAGATTCGAACCCTGCAGTAATTGCAGGCAGCTGGTCTTAATAACCAGCTTAATAACAGGGTGCCTTAAACCCCTGTACTACCAAGGCTCGTTTATTTAAATAGTTTTAATTCTTTTTTTTCTTTTTCTTTTTTTTGGTCCTAAACCCGAATAGCCAACACTACGGACGATAGGCTCAAGATAACAGAAGGATCTGGACAAACTTGAATGCTGGACGCTATCTAACAAAATGAAATTCAACGGTGAGAAAAGGAAGGTTCTACATTTAGGGAAGAAAAAAACGAAACGCACAGGTACCGTATAGGTGGGACCTTGCTCAATAGTAGTTAACTGTGAGAGGGATCTTGGAGTCCTAGTGGACAATCATTTAGATAGGAGCCAGCCGTGTGCAGCAGCTGCCAAAAAAGCCAACACGGTTCTAGGCTGCATCAATGGAAGGATAGAATCAAGATCACATGACGTGTTAGTACCGCTTTGTAAAGACTTAGTAAGGCCACACTTATGGAATACGGCATCCAGTTTTGGTCGCCACGATGTAAAAAAAGATGTGGAGACTCTGGAAAGAGTGCAGAGAAGAGCAACGAAGAGGATTAGGGGACTGGAGGCTAAAACATACGAAGAACGGTTGCAGGAACTGGATATGTCTAATTTGATGAAAAGAAGGACTAGGGGGGATATGATAGCAGTCTTCCAATATCTCAGGGGCTGCCCCAAAAGAAGCGGGAGTCAAGCTGTTCTCCAAAGCACCTGAGGGCAGGACAAGAAGCAACGGGTGGAAACTAATCAAGGAGAGAAACAACTTAGAACTAAGGAGAAATTTCCTGACGGTGAGAACAATTAACCAGTGGAACGACTTGCCACCAGAAGTTGCAAATGCTCCAACTCTGGAAGTTTTTAAGAAGAGATTGGACAACAGATTTGTCTGAAGTGGTGTAGGGTTTCCTGCCTAAGCAGGGGGTTGGACTAGAAGACCTCCAAGGTCCCTTCCAACTCTGTTATTCTATTCTATTCTATTCTATTCTATTCTATTCTATTCTATTCTAATTCTATTCTATTCTATTCTATTCCATGTTTTCTCTTCTCTTCTCTTCTCTCCTCTCCTCTTCTCTTCCATTCCATGTTTTCTATTCTATCTATTCTATTCTATTCTATTCTATTCTATTCTATTCTATTCTATTCTATTCTATTCTATTCTATTCTATTCTATTCCATTCCATTCCATTCCATTCCATTCTGTTTTCTATTCCATTCCATTCCATTTTTTCTATTCTATTCTATTCCATTCCATGTTTTCTATTCTATTCTATTCTATTCTATTCTATTCTATTCTATTCTATTCTATTCTATTCTATTCATTCATTCCACTACATTCCATTTTTTCTATTCTATTCTATTCCATTCCATGTTTTCTCTTCTCTTCTCTTCTCTCTCTCTCTCCTCTCCTCTTCTCTTCCATTCCATGTTTTCTATTCTATTCTATTCTATTCTATTCTATTCTATTCTATTCTATTCTATTCTATTCTATTCTATTCTATTCTATTCTATTCTATTCTATTCTATCCATTCCATTCCATTCCATTCCATTCCATTCCATTCCATTCTGTTTTCTATTCCATTCCATTCCATTTTTTCTATTCTATTCTATTCCATTCCATGTTTTCTATTCTATTCTATTCTATTCTATTCTATTCTATTCTATTCTATTCTATTCTATTCTATTCTATTATTCTATTCTAAATAAACTGTTATAAGTCAAGGACTACCTACGGAAACAAATGTCCAATATAATATCCAAGTTTGCACCCATTTTTTAATTGATAAGATTAATCAACTAGACTGTAGTTGATTAAATGGGCACCGCACGCATTCCAAGACAGGTTGATTCATGAAAATGGCCGTATATTTTCTTTTGCTAATGCGTTGCTGACCGCAAGGATAATAGGACAGGTGATAAACAGGTATATATATATACACACACACACACACACACACACACACACACGCATCGCTTACAAAAATGCCCCGTGCCAACTTCAAATGCGTCCGTGGCATTCGGAGGGCATCAAAATGCAGGTTGCGGCGATGAGAATTTTTACGTTCCCCCCCTCCTCATTTTCTGCGTTCCAAGCAGGCAGCCGAGTTCTCCTAACAGGCGTGTTTATTTCAATAAATCCATCCCAAAAGGCATGGCGATCGAGGCCAGCCGACACCGGGCTCCAGAACCGTGACATTCTTGGCGTGTATCTGCCTTCTTTTTTTAATTTTACATTTTTAATCGAGCATGGCAAATCAGGACGAGAGAGGGCAGCATTTTGATGTGCAAAGCGCAAAGACGGAATGTGATAATTCCAAATCGTTTTGCCAACCAGAGAAACAGCGGTTCAAATCTGGGCTGAGGACAAGATGAAAAACTAAGCTAGCATCCGAGCGGGCTTCGCTTAGGGATCGGTCCCGATTTCTAAACCTAACCTACCCTGCAGGATTGTTGTTCCCAGGCTAAAAGGGATGGCAGATTTATCCTTTTATATCGCCTGGAGTTTAGGACAGCGGTCCAAGACTCCAAGGAAGAATAAAAGAAATGTTGCGTAGTTGCATTAATCCTGCTGACTTTAAATCACAATTTAACTTGGTTTAATTCTCCTCTCCTTTCCCTCCCTTGGGGTTGGACTAGAAGACCTCCAAGGCCCCTTCCGTCTCTGATATTCTTTTATTTTGCTGTTCTTTTTTCCTCTCCTCTCCTCTCAACCCTGCATTTTGCAAGCTTATTCGTAAACTTACTTATCAAATAAGTTTAAAACTCTTTAACTTACATATATAGTAATATTCACGGCCACTCTGGAACTCGATGCCGAGGGAAAAGGGGGTAAACCTCTGGATTTTCTCCGAGAACCGGACGGCTCCGTAGGCGGCATACGGACGGTTGCACTCCCATCGTTTGAAAGCTCCCGGGGTTTCGTAGCAACCTTGGTATCCGTCGGCGTTGACCATAAGCAAAGTGAAGGATTCCGGTTTCCCGCTGTCCAATGGCCGGTCATAATGGGGACAGTAAATATCCAGGTAGTCGTTGATGGACACCTGAATGGTGTAGCCTCCGTCTGAATTGAAGAACCTGGAAGTGGAAACGAGAAACGGTTTCGAACGAGGTCACCGGACTCAATTAAAAATCCAGATTTCCAACAGGTTGGACTTAAATTCGGGTACATTTTTGCTAATCTCGAAGGGGCCAGATACCATCTATACCACATTTTGTATTGATTCTCTTTATAAACCACTGACTTTGTTATGATATAATTATTTTCCTGTTGGAAGTGTAATCAGGCACCGGGCACCTTCTTCCACGTCTGGTGGCTTTGCCCAAAAATTAGAAAATATTGGGGAAAAAATAAGAATTTGGTTAATAGAAATAACATCGGAAAAAATAGAACTTAAAACCAGAGATTTTCCTACTAGGGATGATTAAAGAAAACTATAGGAAAGAAATAAAGTACTTAATATTACACATAGTCACTGCAGCCAGTTTAGCGCTTGCCCAATATTGGAAAACTGATCAACTGCCAACAGACCAATTGCTAATCCAAAAAATCTATAATTGTGCGGAAATGGACAAACTAACATTTGAAATGAAGGATAAGGTAGACTCAAAAGGTTACGTAGCGTGGAATAGGTGGTATAATTGGATAACTCGTAGAAATGAGAGCTAATGTAAAATTCTGTGTGATAATAGTAATTAGCAATAGTAATTAACAAATATGCATCGTTAATAAGAGAATGGAGGTGAGACCAAGGTCACTTTTTCTTTTTATGAATTGTCTGTATTAATATATGTATCTTGTATATAGATGGTATAACATGTTACTTTTTATACGTTTAATAAAGTTTTGTTTTTAAAATAAAAATAATAATAATAATCCAGATTTATCTTTTAAGGAGGACGGAGCAGTGACTCACGCAGGGAAACAATGAATAGACTCTTCTTCTTGCTACTTAACCACCCGTGTATCTATCGACTTATCCTCTCTTGAAACCAGAGCAAGCTCTCAAACTGGAAAGCAACAGGTAGACTCACTCAATTTTATCTACTCTCGTTTCTAAACGACAGAGCAGTGACTCACGCAGGGAAGCAATGGGTGGGATTCCTTTCCTACTTTTGTGCTTTATCCATCCACTTATCCCTTTAAAAGAGGGTGCTATCTAACAAAATGAAATTTTGTTTAATTTGTTTAATTTAAACGAGCTCTCAAACTGGGAGGCAATAAGGCAAACTCCTTAATTTATCTTCCCTCAACGATCGATAGATCCGTCACTCATACAGGGAAGCAACGGGTAGACTCTTTACCTCCTTATTATCCACCTGATCCACCCATCTTTAAAAGAGAGCGAGTTCTCAAGCAGGGAAGCAACAGGTAAGACTCCTTCTTAACCGAGTGTCTCTAGCCTTTAAATGGCAGAACAGCCACTCAAACAGGGAAGCAACAACCAGACTCCCCCTTTTTTCAGCTTGTCCATCCTTGCCTTGAAACGGGGGGCAGGCTCTCAAAACAGCCAGACTCCTTCTCAACTTACCCCCTCCTAGGAGAGAGAACAGCCACTCAACCAGGGAGGCAACGGGCAGCCTCCTCCTTTTCTCCTGATCTACCTTATTATCCATCGACTCATCCCGGCTTTAAAACCAGAGCGAACAGAGAAGCAACAGGCAAACTGCCTTCAGTTTTGCTAAAATGGAGCCAGAAAAGACCCCTCTTCCCCTGGATGAAAAAGATCTCAGCAACTCATCCAGAGACACAAACAGAGGGGCCCCCCCTCCATATAATAGCCTCTTTTCTATGGACGGAAGTGTTTCATTATGGAATTATTTCTTCTAAGGTGTTACCAGGTTTGGCTCACAATGCCCCAATCGTCAGAGGCGTTTTTTTGGGGGGGGGGGGGTTTACAAACAATCCCTTAGGAGCAACAACCCACCCCCCCCCCCCCCAAGTTTGCTAGCTAAAATAAAGTTGTCGGAATCTTCTCTCTAAATGGCCGTGGGGATGGGGCTCAAAATTGAATTGGTTTTAAAAATGGGGTTTTAAATTTGGGGGTATTTAAATTGAGCCTATCATTTAATAACTTTTAATGATTTTTAAATTTTGTCTGTGCTTTTAATCAGGCTGTACACCGCCCTGAGTCCTTCGGGAGAAGAGCAGTATAGAAATAAAATTAATTAAAAAATAATCAATCAATAAAAAAAATTAAACCACCTTAGCCAGGGGGTAGGCGTCAAAAATTTTAGCAAGGGGGTCTCTGCCCGGCGTAGCCTAGTCAGCCTCCTGCACCACGGGGTGTGTGTGTGTGTGTTTGCCCTCCCCAGGCTCCGGAGGCTTTTCTTGAGCTTCCGGGAAGGCAAAAACGGCCTCCCCAGGCTCCGGAGGCTGGAAACAGACTCGTTTCCTGAGCTTCCGGTAGGCGCATTTTTCACCCTCCCTGAGCCTCCGTGCGTGCCCGGCACTTACCTGTATCCAAAATCGGCTGTGTGGGGACTCCTGGGAGGGGTGAGGTGGGGCGGGGCAGGGCGGGGCCAGTCGGGAGTGTGATTTGGGGGTTCCCCCGAAACTGCACAGAATCTTAGCTACAGGTTCTCCCGAACCCCCACCCCTGAATTTAGCTCCTAATATCGTGCTTATTTCTTCTTGCCTGCAATTTTTTTTCCTCCCACCCCAAGGAAAAATTACAGGTGACTTCCCCAGCTTAAAATTTTTGGTGTGGCCCGGGGAATTGACACGCCGGCTTTGAAGAAGGATGCGCAAACACACAATTGTGCAAGACAGGCAAAATTCAGATGTTTCAGGTTGTTAAAAAGAGAGACGGAGGCCGCCGCCGAAATATTTACCAACCTGTTTTGATGTTGGGGAAGATGAAAAGATTTAAGTAAGCATCTTTTCCGGTTGCCGAGATAGAATTCGGAGCCATGTTTAATTCGACTTTAATAACAGGGAGTCCTCGAATTAGAACAGTCCGTTTAGTGACCGTCCCAAGTTACAACGGCACTGGGGGGGAAAAAATGGGACTTTGGGATCGTTGTTCAGACTTACGACCTTTGCGGCATTCCCGGCGGTCATGTGATCAAAATTCAGACACACACACACACACACACACCGGTGACTGGTTCATAGTTACGACGGTCGAAGGGTCCCGTCGAGTTTGGCTCCCTTTGACCACCTTCCTTGCTGCAGTTGTTATGTTAGCAACCCGGTCGTTAAGTGAGTCTGACGTTGCTCGTCGGAAGGTCGCAAAAGGGGAATGCATGACCCCAGGGTCATAAATGTGAGTCAGTTGTCAATTTTGATTATATGACCGCGGGGATGCCACGACGGTCGTTAAGTGTGAAAAAATGGTCATAAGTCGCTTTTTTCAAGGCTGTTGTAACTTCGGTCACTAAATGAATTGTTGTAAGTCAAGAACCGCCTGTATTTATTTAAATGGCAACTGCATTGTTGCCAATTTTGGTTACGTAATGCCACGACGGTCATTAAGTGTGAAAAACGGTCCCAAGTGGCTTTTTTTCAGGGCTGTTGTAACTTGGGACGGTCACTAAATGAGGCATCGTAAGTTGAGGACTACCCGTACCAGGGGGAAAAAAAAAATCTATCTTTGGCTGGACTCGCTCGTGAGCCAGAGGTGTTTGGTGAGGACAAAATGAATTTTGGTCAAATATTGACATATAGAGGATTTTCAAGCTAGGAAAACAGCGATTAGTGGATTAAAAATAAAAATACCCTCCCCGTATTTGTAGGGAGAGAAAAATTTTGTGTTTGTGTGTTTGTGTGTATGCGATGCAAAATAGATTAACAGGACACAAATTATCGGCACTGAGTTGCAACAGGTAGTCCTCGCCTTACGACATTCATTTAGCGACCGTTCGGAGTTAGAATGGCACTTTTTTAAAAAAGAAAGTGACTTGGGAGCGTTTTTCGCACTTACGACCAACCGTACGCCGCCTCCCCGCGATCAAAATTCAGGCGCTTGGCAATGGATTCGTATTTACGATGGTCGTTAGCGTTCCGGGGTTTTCCCCGTTGCGACCTTCCAACGAGCAAAGTCAACGGAGAAAGCCGGATTCACTGAGCCGCCGTGTGACTAATTTTGCAACGGCGGCCAAAGAGAAGGTCGTAAAACTCCACGGTCTCGCTTAACGACAGAGATGTCGGGCTCTGTTGTGGCCGTAAATCGAGGAGTCCCTGTATTTGGCCGGCTTGCCAAATCTCCTTCGATGAGATGTTTCGGGATATGGGAGGTTCTCATTTAGGAAAACTTTTTTAAAAAAATGCCACCCGTTTGACGCTGCCACTCTGCACATGGTCTGAAGAACGTTTGTTCTCATTCCATTTTTTTTAAAAAAAATAAATAAATGTGTGGCTTGGCTGGCTTTGGCTGAGATTAACACCTTTCCCAGTTGCCAAAGGAATGGCGCCGGTGACTTAAATCCACCTCTTTCTCTCTTCTAAAAATCTTCCCCACATGAAAACCGGCGCTATCGTCACCCGATCTCAATGAGTCAACCAGCAACCAGCCCAAGCCGAGATTAAGCGCCAAAGACTCAAAAGGACGGATTTGGCAACCGCAAAAAGCGAAGTCCAAAACGCCAGGAAATAATAATTAAGATCGCTTTCCGACGGAGGAGGCGTACGTGAGAACAGATGTTTCGCCTCCGAGACACCCTTTCGGCCTCTCCCCGTCCCGATGTTTAGGAATCCAGGCCCGTCATCAATCCCCAAAGATCAGATCCGGGGCCCGACGTTAAAAGAGACGTACGATCCGAAATAGGTTTGTGTTTTCAAAGCTCACAACATGTGCAATCTTGTTAAGGGCGGCTTAAGCTTCAAAAGCCGCTGTAAATATAAATGGAGAGAGTCTGTGGATTTGATCCTCTAGGGTAGTAATGGCTAACTTTTTGCCGTCGCGTGCCAAAAGTGGGGGGACCGTGGGGGTTTGCGTGTATCCGTGTCCACACCCATAATTCATTGCACCCCACAAATGCGCACATGACCCCCCCACTTTTGGCACGCGATGGCACAGTGGGCCCGTTTTTCGCCCTCCCCAGGTTCCAGGGGCTTTCTAGGAGACTGGGGAGGA